GTCTCCAGAAGTAGTGCCCTCTTCTTGTGCCTCTTCCTCCTGCCCAGTCCAGCAGAGTCACCCCGTCCAGTCCCAGGGCAGATGTGGCAGGAGGAAGTATGCTGAGATGAGTGTCCTGGCCCCTGAGCCCGGGGGTCAACAATGGAAGGCCTACATTAGGCCGTCTTCTCACATAGGGTTTTTAACTCTTGAGAAAGGGTGGTAGTGAGCCTGTGCAGGCTTCTGAGCACAAGAGGGCCGGGTCCCCATCAGCTCTGGCACTGACCAGCTGTGTGACCTTGGGAAAGTGTCTCTACCTCTCTGTTCCTCAGTTTCTGCATCAGTAAAAATAAGACCAATTAAAACCACCTCAAAGGACTACTATGGGGACGGAAGATGTTGGCTCAAGTTTGGCAAGTCCCAGGTGTTCCACTGGTGGCTGCTAACATGACTGCCCTTCCCCTCTGCCCCCTACCCCCAGTCCTTTCTCTGAAGCATAGGCAGAGTGGTCTTCCTGAAGTGCACACCTGCTCAGTTGTCCTTTTGCCCAAGACCCTTCTGTGGCTGTGCACATGAGCCAGCATCCCAGGGTCTCCCTGGATCCTGGTTTCTTGTGGGTGGGGAAAACAGCCTGGCAGGTGTTTACAGAATGAATGAATGCATGGATAAGCCATGTGGAGACCTTGTCATGGGGGGTGTTTAGGGAGGAGCTGGGGACACCTCGGTGTAGGATATTATTCTGCCTACGTAGCAGGACCAACCTGGTTCTGCCCATTTCGGGACGGTGGACGGTAGTTCTTAGACTGCACTGGTGATGCAGACTGCCCTCCCCTCTAGGATCCTGGGGTCCTCCGTGACTGAACAGCTATAAAGTTCAGTCTGACTCATGCTGTGGGCTTATTTGCATTCCAGTGCTTTGAAGGTTATTGATTCAGAGTGGCATCTCTGGTTTACCACAGTGCTTAACTCTTCAGAATGTCTCATTCTGGACAGGGGGTTCTGCCCAAGGGCCTGTTGGAGGGCCTGGGTCCAGGGAGCAGCTGTGCCCAGGGACAGGCTACTAGTCCTCTCTCACCTGGCTGGGTCCTGGATGCTGACCATGCCCAGGTCCTCGGAGCTGTCGATGAGCTGGCACCGGAACTTCTGGCGCTGCAGCACGGTGGTGATGTGAGATCAGTTGTGCTGGGCCACGGCCCTGCCCACGGCCAGGTAGTCACCATCCCCTGAACATAAAGCAGGATGTCAGGGCCTGGGAGGCAGGGACAGAGCAGGTGGCCCAAGGGTCTCCAGGCTGAGAAAACAAATTCCCTCTCAGGGGCCTGTGGTGCTAAGAGCCATTTCAACCTCAGGGACCATATCTGTCCCTCCCTCGGTCCCCCATGTCCACGACTTGCACAGAGAATCCTCTGAGCCATGGGAGTTAGGAGAAGGACCTGCTTCTCAACCCCTACCACCCACCCCTCTGCGCACTCCTCACAGGGATGCCCCCACCCTGGGAGGACAGTGTCTTGGGAACACACAGGCCTAGGCCAGCCTGGCCCCGATGCAGTTCTGTGGTTCACCAGCCTCACTTCTCACCTCTCTGAGCCCCCATTTTCTCCCCTGTAAAAAGGGCAGACCCACAAGATCTGACCCCACAGGGCTATTGGGAGCATCCCTTGGACGAGAGACCTCTCAGGACCCCGGGCAGGCCCCAGCCAGGCTGCTCCCTCCCTTCCTCCTCTTGACACTGTGAGCACAATGGAGAATGAAGGCAAAGAGACAAGCCAGTCCGCAAGGGGTTCCCCGACTCCTAGGCTGGGGCCATTTCTGGATGGCGTCCTCATCCCAGTGCCAGACAGACACTCCACCTCACTTCACTTTCCCCAACACACACACACACACACACGCACACATACACACACACACTGTGACATACACACACACACACTGTGACATGCGCGCGCGCACACACACACACTGTGACATGCACACACACACATACACACACATAGTGACTCTCAGGCCCCTGGCTCCTGGGTGGCCCCACCAGTCTGCGGCCATCTCAGGCCTCTCCCAGGAGGGCATGGGAGCTACCGAGGCTGTCTGGTGCCCAAGGAGACGGCAGCTGATGGACCTGGCCTCCTATAGCCCTGACCATCCATGATCAACTTCCCTGAAAACAAATTGCCAGTCCTAAGGCCAGAGGCCAGTCAGCCCAGGTCCAGGCATGGCCTGCAAAGCCGACATGGCAGAGAGCAGTGAGAAGGCAGGGTGGCCCGGGGGCTTGCACCATCGGCACTGGGTGTAGTGGGGAGCTGTGGGCTGTGCACCTTATTTTGTGCTTCCATGACCAACAAATTGCTGTGTTGTTTAAGCCCGGTCTGTGATCCGCCCTCTGTTCTGCAGGCCTGGACACTCTATGAAAGATGGGGATGCATAAGCTTTTGGGTGGGTGGGTGACGAAAAGGCAGAGAAGATCCCAAGTATGTCCCAAATATGGCTTGGACATACTTATATTAGAAAATGAAGTCATCATGTATTCAAAATTCAAAAGTAGGCTGAGCAGTCCTGTGTTTCCTATTTAATTTCTGGCCAATCGCCACCTGTGGAAGAGCATGGGGGCCAACTGGGTCCCACAGTCCCAGGAGAGGTGGGCCCTGGAGGCCAGCTGCCACATATCCTTTCTGAATAGAGTAGAGAGAAGGCAGAGGTGGAGAGAGAAGGAAGGCGGGAGATGAGAGGTGGAGGAAAGTAATGAGGGCCTGGCCTGGTGATGGGCAAAGGGGCCAGAGATGGGGGGCCCACAGGCCAGGTGAGGCAAGGAGCAGTGTTGCTCAGGGTGCCCCGAGGGGGACATGAAAATGGACTTGCAGGTCATCTTCAGTGGCCTGCGGCTGTGCCCATGGAGAGACAGAGACATTCCCCCCAACCCCAGGCTCCATAACCTGGGGGTTGGCTGACATTGCGGAGAAGAGCCAGTCAGCATCTTTCCTTGTATCCAGCCCCACCAGGTACAACTCCAAAAGTAGGACATGTCAAACACACAGCGGTGGCCTCTGCAGGCCAGACACTCCTTCGATCAGAAAAGCTCCAGGGAGGTGGAAACTGCGGGGGCCTTTGGGGTGTGCTTCCTCCCAAGAACGTGGAGAATGGGGGCTCTTTCCAGCACACCTGTACTGGAGCCTCCCCTCCCTCTGTTCTAGTCCGCACCAAGCCCTTCCCAGCTCAGGTACACACTATGACACATGCTTCTCAAGCACAGGGAATGCCTTCCAGGATAGAATATATGCTAAGCCACAAAACAAGGCTCATAAATTCAAAAATGTTGAAATCATACAAAGGATATTCTCTGACCGTGATGTAATTAAATTAGAAATCAGTAGCAGAAGAAAAATTGGAAAATTCACAAGTAAGGGAAATTAAACAACACAATTGCTAAAGAATGAATGGATCAAAGAAAAGAATCACAAAGGAGCTACTGAATGGAAATGAAAATGAAAGCACAACACACAATCACTTATGGATGCAACTAAACGCAATGCTTACAGGGAAATTCTGCTTCTACGTGCTTGTATTATAAAAGATCTCAAATCAATAGCCCGATCTTCTACTTTTGAGAAGCCAGAAAAAGGGCAAATTAAACCCAAAGCAAGCAGAAGGAATGAATGTTAGAACAGAACTAAATAACAATAGAAAAAAAAACACAAAACAAAAGTTGATGTTTTGAAAGATCAAC